TTGCTTGAAATGAGACAGAAAGATGCACCTTCTGTCCAGTCAGTCTTCTTTATTCTGCTAGCAAGGAAGGTCAGGATTCTTACCGTTTGTGTTGGAATAGGGAACAGGAGACTCCTCACAACGGCAAAGAGCATGAGGCTTGGAGTCCTAATTCTGCCACTCTCTAGCTATGTGACTTAGACAGAATGCCACTTGCTCACCCCACAACTCAGTTTCCCTATCTGTAAAATGGGGATACTAACAGTGCCTATCATCACAGGGTTGATGCGAAGGTGATGCCTTTTAGGAACAATAACAATGCCATGTAATATTTACTGAGACCCAGAAACTGGGTTCCAGAGAGCCAGTTATACAGCAAGCATCTGAGCTGGATTTGAACCCAAGCAGCTAAATTCTAGAGCTCCTGTCTTCACTACTGCCTCCCCATTGATGTAAGGACCCCACATAGCACCAAGCCCATGGGAGCTGCTATTTTTATTTTTGTAACTGATTTCTACAGGCTCTGGAAATGGAAGGACATTTTAGAGGTTTAAAAGCTCTAGAGAGGTAGGAACGAGGCAGGAAAGTTCTTTAAAGTCTTTGCTCCCCTCCCCCCCCCCCCCCCCCCCCGTTAACTACACTTAGGGCAGCCACACCAGGTCCTTTCCCATGGGAAATAGCTGCATTTTGTAGCACAGCTGTAAGTTGTGAATTATTCCTTCCCATTTGAAGCTGGGGGACAATATACGCTCATTCTGACCCAGCACTTAATTGTAAATTGTCGTCATTCACTTTTTCGTATAAGCAGAAGTGCCCTAATCACATGATTATTCGGTAACTTCCACCTTTCAGGATCTTAAGAAAAATGAAAAAGGAAAACAAAACAAAAAACCAACCCAGTCCTGCTTTTACAAACTCATTTGTGGCTAGCTCAGTGATAAAGCCTTCCCTCCTCGCCCGTGTCAGCTTTCAGGAATTCTCTGCGTTGTCTGTGTTGTGTAACCCAAGCAGCTTGTTATCTTTGCAGCTTAAAGGCTGACTTGGAAATTCAGACGGTCAACTATTTAAAGAGAATGAAAGTCCCCACTCTACTACTTTAATTAACTTGCAGAGAGCAAGGTTTCCTACTGGTTATGATGATGTTCACTTAAAATACTCTTAAGGAAACATGGCAGGAAGCTAAGTAAGAAGGGGGAGGATTGCTGTTTTTCAAGGCATTCTAGGAAGAAGAGTTTGAGCAAAGCCATGAAGGGAAAATACTACAGAGTACCTGGAGAACTGAGAAGAGAGGTGTGAACAGATATTAAGGAGTATAAACAGTGGAGTATGGGAAATTAAAGTACATAATACAGATTAAGTAGAGCCTTGATGCCAGATGAGGGTGTTGGAGGGTGGGCGTTTGTGCAATGAGAAACCGTAAAGAGATTCTTGGTAGTGAACAACACCAATCACATTTATGTCTTGGGAAGGTCACTGGGGTTCTGTGCAGGTGGCTGTGAGGGATGGCACCAGAAAAGATCTGGAAGCTCACTGGCTATGAGACATTGTTTCCCTGGGCCTGATTTTCCATCTGTTAATTTGTTCAATGGCAATGATAACATCTGTGGTGGGGGCTGAATGAAATCTCACATGGACTTTGGGAAAATAATGTTGTCGAAAGCACTCACACAAACTATACACACACACAGCACCGTGGTCGGGTTGTGTGGAGGGGAATGAGGGCTGAGAAAGCAAGCCTTCTGATGAAGAAGAGAGCTGACTAGACAGATGGAGGAGATGGGTGGGAGGGCGAAGGGGAAATCCTCCGAGGTGATTCAAGAGAAAAAGCTGATGTCATACAAGGGGAGTCAGGGAAGAGAAGTTGCTCTGGGGGCTGGGGTGATGCTGGGTTCAGCTTTGGAAATGCTACATTTGAGAAAGAGGGAGATATTCATAAGGAGTGGGTGGACCGGAGCAGCCTTAAGAAGTAGGTGTTAATCATTGTTTTAATCGAGAAATCCACATTGCCCTGGTCTTGGAAAGAATTCGGGGACATTTTTTGAGACTTAAACCTCAGTGAGTCAACTCAGTGAAGTTCTAAAAGCCAACGGCTGCAGCCAGCGGCCTGTAAGTCAACAGAAGAGTGGGATTCAGAATGGCCACTGAGGTAATTCTTGATATAAAACCAAGTCCCCAGGAAGGAGATGCCCTAGCCTATGGTTCTCGGCATCCTCTGTGCCTTGACTGGGGCTGACACATTTTAGGCATTCTGTGGGTGTTAACGGCTAAAGCTATGAACTTTGTATAATTTTAACGTACTGGTATCAAGAATGTGTAAACTCCCTTTCAGGACTTTGTATTTTGCCTCTTTAAGGAACTTCCCTCTGCTTGTTTCCACCTGAGAAACATCACGTAAGAAAACAATCACAGATCACCACAGTCCCAAATACACCAAGATGTTCATCACAGCATTATTTATATGTCAGCAAAAAATGGGAAACAATTCATATTTGAAACAACAGGGAGGTGGTAAGTCATTCCATTAATATGATCAAATAAGAAAGTGGAGACTGCAGGAACTGTTCTACGCGCTTTGCAAATATTAATTCATTTAATGCTCATAGCAATGCTATGGGGTGTGTACCATTAAGATAAGTTCCATTCTACAGATGAGGAAGTTGAGGGCTCGGACAGTTTAAATAACCTGCTCAAGATTATACAGGTAATAAGTAGCAGACCTGGGATCTGAGCAAGGCAGGCTGGTTCGTGTGTCTTTGCTCTAACCAATATACTACATTGTCTCATGGTATTTTTTTTTTTCTTAAGCCAGTTTTGTAACAAATTTGGGGGGAAAAATATATTTTCCCCATTCACAGGAGGAAGCGATCACATCACAGGGAGGGGGTGGATGGTAGCAAAGAATCAAAATTCTGCCTCATTATAAACCCAATGACAAGAGTTCACAGTTCCTTATTCTTTCCTTCACCTCCATCAGCGAAAACTAACGCTTGCTGGCAAAACAACTGATAATTTACAAAGTCGTTCCACGTCATTCATCTCCTCAAAACCACCCTGCCAAGTCACAATTTTCATGAACCCCAATTTACAGATGAGCAAGCTGAGGCCCAGAAGGGACAAACGGCTCACTTAGGGTCACATTGCTAGTTTCTTGACGCCCAGGCTCACGTTCCTTCTACAACTCAGTGAGGTTTAGACAATTTCCAAAACAGTGTCCTCCATCTAATCAGCCTAGTAATCACTCAGGAAACCACCAGGCACAAGGAAAATTTAAAGAAGAGGATTGGTTTGGGCTTGGCCAGACTAACTCAACAACCTTGAAGTCTTAGACAACCTCTGGACTACCCGAGGACTGTCTCTTCCGAGCCTTCAGTCATAGGCAAGAGATCTTCCCCAAGGAAGATCTGTTCCTCCCCTTAATACACTATTCACTTTCTTCAGACCCACCTTAGTCCCAGTGGTCTTTTCAGAGGTTACCAAGAGACAGGGCAGGATGTTGATAATGAGGAGGGCTATAATGATACTAGAATAATTGATAATAATAGTCAAAGTGTTCAGAGAGCTTGCTACGTGCCAGAAACTGCCCTGGGCAATGTTTACAACATTTGATCTCCCGCTCTACGCCCATTAATCTAGGGGGTAGGTGCCATTTTCCTGATGAGGATATGAGGCTTAGAGAGTGTCCATTACATGGCTGGTGGAGAGGAAATGGGGAAGGAAGGGTTAGCAGTTCACAGACTGCAGAAGGTGAGCTTTCGGCCCTAAAGCCCTCATTTATAAATCAACTTCAGACTCACCCCCCCCACATGATGACATTCCTCGCATATCTGATCTTCCTAGGAAATATGGCTCCTCCAAGAAATCCAAGGGCAGAGAACACAGCAGCATGATGTCAAGGATCTAGAAACTCATTTACCCTCCTCTTATCTCCACGTTTTCTTTTAATTAAAAAATAATGGTGTTTATAGATTTTCCTGATATATTTACATATATCAGGAAAATATATTTTTAAATGTATTTTCCTTTCCCTCAAAGCCTATTTCCTAACTTAAACACAAATTTCTAAAAAAATAACAGCACAAAACAAAGCTAATGAATGTGGTGAGCAGATCGTGGTGTGTTACGTGGACTCCTCAGTCATTTTACCAAACTGAATGGGCAGGTGAGAGGATCTGGAGTTTCTGAGGTGAAGTAGTATGCCCTGACTGGACATTTTCAGGCATGGAAGGCATTATTCGGTTATCAGTCCCTTAAGGAGCATACTATTCAAAATCTTGGCTGGGAATGAGTGCTAGGTCATCTGTAAATAATCTACGGGTAAAGTTTACTAGGAGTGGAACATTAACATGGTAGAGGTGAGGCTTTCAATGGGTCACTGGCCTGTGGGCTGCTTCTAATTGGAGGCCTCGCCTCCACCTTTAACCGTTTCGATTTTCTCCGACTCCAACTACTGCATTAAAAGGGGCAGAAAGGAGCAGGTAGAGCATGAACATAAACACTCTGATGAGGCGGCCAGTTAGGCAGTTAGAACCAGTTAAGTGTCCCAGGGGCAACAATACCACTGGTAGGTCAAGTGTCTGAAGGGGGAGGTCCCTGCAGGGCAGCTGCAAAAAGCAAGCCCCCATTAATCCCTTAACTAAGCAGCTGATGGAGTTATCTTTTTATGCATATGTTATAACTCCTCCAACACAGGATTATTTATAAATTTTAAAAAAGTCAGCACGGCTACCAAAGCTTTTTAGGGATTTCTTCATCTTGCTAGCAGATAACAGAAAATAGAACTTTGGAGGGCTTCTGTTTACAATTCACTGTCACTCTGGCTTGAAAAACTCTAAGAAAGCTTCCTTGCTGGATTCATTCACAAAAAGAATGGGTCCTTATCTGAAGAGGGAAGAGATCTCAGTCCCCCGCCTTGAGATCTACTTTCTTTTGAGTTCGCATCCATTGTTATTTAAAGTAGCGGCATTCAGCTAGGGTTCAGCTAGGGTTATTTTGCATAGTAATATCAGAAAAGGAACCATTACCTGGTATAATCCCCTTTGGCCTCCTGAAATAAAAAACAAAGATGGATGATCAATATGAATTTATGTTAACTAAGCAAATGAATTTCACTCTTGGTCACGTTTCCCTCTTAAAAGTGCCTGAGTTTTGTTTTGAAGAGTGTCCCCGAGGAACACTTTCTCTAGGGCCACGGAGAAGAATGTGGCATTGGTGAGAACACATTAGTATCCATGAAATACTTCATATTCTTTTTTTTTTTTATTTTCAACAGAAGAGACAAATATATCTGAAAAAGCACAGATGATTATTTCTTCTTTTAGGTCTCTAAGATCATGTGATAAATGCTCGTCTATTCGAGCAGCACTTTCTAGTCTGGACACAGACCTTTTAAACCGGACATAGGTAAATCAACGCGTGCTACTTGTTTTCTCTTTTTAAACCAGCACAGAACACGCTTGGTTTTTCAGCAACTAGCGTCTTTAAGCATTAAGGGGCTCTTGCTCTTGCCCTCGACCTCAAGAAAAATGTCTACAAAAGTTACTTAATTTAAATGAAAATTACAGCTCTTGTAACAATTGCTGCTTCCCAAATTCAACTGTTCCAGAGCTCCTTTCCAGAAGTACGATCTAAATTCTCTTCCCCCAGAGCAGCCTAAATTTCATTTTCCTTTGCGACATACAATACCACCCTATAGCTCATGCAAATTATGCTAAAACAGAAAACGGTGGCTCGCTTACGTTTTTCACTGGCAAACTACCAGCTGGCTTAAAAAATCTATCAGCCACTGGCCCATGAGAGAAAGTTTCAGAGTTGCAGGCAGTTCACAAAAACCAACAAACAAAAAGGCGCAGGCAAGAGGTAGTTGGTTGATTCTTACCTGTAACACAAGCGCTGCTAACTTGAAGATGGTTTCGCTGTCCGCTTCGATTTGCCCCTGTGGGGGGTGGGAAAGCAAAGCGTCACTGGACACAGGCTGCCCTAGGTTGTAGCAAATGGCTGTGGAGTTGGGGAAGCTGTCACAGCTTGGCACCTCCAGTTTACAATCAAACGCAGATCATACCATTACAGGGGAAAGGGAGGGGGGCGTGGAGGGGCGCATCCAGGGTTCAGGGGAAGCCACAATGTGTGTGTGTGTGTGTGTGTGTGTGTGTGTGTGTGCGCGCGCGCGCGCCCACACTTTAATTAGCTGTGGGGAATTTTGTTTAGAGAGTGGTATTCTGGAAGAAACACAAATGACTTTGAGGCTGAAAATTCAAACAACTTCCCAATGATTGACTTTTATCCCTACAGGTTCATTTTTAAGCTCTGAAGATTTTCTTAGATTTGTTCGTTCTGTGTTTTCCTGAGATATTTTTTTCTGTGTCACCACATGTTTTTTTTTTTTTTTTGGTATACACACAATGCAACTATTATTAAAAATGTAAATTCACTTCGACATCAATGACACATTGTTAAATTAATATTTATACAGTTAGAGACAAAATGTAAAGCGTTAAGAATCAGTTACAGCAAATACTTAGAGAAGACCGAAATTCTGTTCCATTTTACTGAAATCTGATGAACTCTAATTTATCATTTTACCCATTATTTTATTTTTTTCATCCTTTAAGATCTCCCCCCACACCAAAAATAGGAATGTGGGGCCTTGGAAAACAGGAATGCTTTTTCAGTACCCTGGTAGGGATGCATAAGTGTGTGTGGAGGGAATATTGCCTCTAGCAATGATATTCACATATGCCTTCATTTATTTTGTTAAATATCATATACGTTAATACCATTACTACATCATATAATATAGTACCACAATGAATGGTATAGCGGGATCTTCATTTTTAAAAAAAATTTGTTGGGTGATACACTACCTTGTAAGCATTAACATACACTAAAACAATTCCATATAACCTTGCTTACGTGTTGTATAATTAGTACTTGAAAGTGCAGAGTCTTTGAAACTGTGGAACTCATGAGCCTAGAAAATGCCCTGAATTCTTTATTTCTCCCTTTTACCTATTGAATTTGGGCTGAAGAGTTATTCTAGTTGTACCAGGGCATCAATGGTGGGTAATTAAGTAGTTTTAAAGTAAAGGCGAACTAGGTAGGTTCACAGAAGCAGTGAGCTCACTGCAGATTTCTGAAAGGCTTATGCTTTTCTCTCACGTTTCCAAGTGATTTGGATTTGGGGTTCTCAAAAATGAAACAAACTAATAACAATAATTCTTCTAAAAGCCACAAAAATAAAATAAACCAAAAACCCAGGGCGTTACAACGCCAGCTGTGATAATTATGTTTCCCTTATGTCACAAAATGAAAACAAACCAATTTCATCCTGCGACATCTAAGTTTCCTTTCTGAAACCTGAGGCAAGGGATCTGCTCCAAACTTTTTTGCTCTAAAAGCTGACAGGCCCAGAGCCTTGGAATTCAAAGCTTGCTTCTAATCTCTAGAAACAGATTATAAAATCAAAGAGAAGCCAGGTTGATTGCCCTCTGTCTTTCAGGCAAGAGACAGTGGTTTTCTAATCTGGTGAAAGATGATGAAGCATTTAATCCAACAGGTGAGATGGGTGTTGATCAAGACAAAGTTTTACAACGGTTATATTCCTCATGCTCAAAGGAAAATAACAACAACAACAACTCAGGGAGGGGGTCACAGGGGGAGGGACACTCAAAGACATCTTTGAGTTTGAAATTGCACCCAAACTTAAAGTCCTGTTTGTCTTAAAATCTTACAAAAGAGAAAAAAATGGGTTGTTTCGGAAATTAGCAAAACAAACGCTAAATAAAATATACTGAAAATGACTGCCAACTCTTCTGACCCCCCATGACCCTCTTTGCCTCAGCAGAACTTTAGGTGAGTCATCCAAACAATATTTGAGACACCAACTTTTCAATTTAGTAAATGGAAGTTCAGCAGATAAAAAGGCCTCAGACAGAAACTCTTAAGAATGCTGCCAAATAATTCTCTACCTTAGAAGGGTCATTAAATATTAAAAATGCCGAAATGAGGAGCTGAAGCATGAAAAGTGCCAGGCTCAGACAGCTCCAGAAGAGTGGGGAGGTAAATATGCAACTCACCTGTGGGTTGTTTTTTTTTTTTCCACCTATGCAAGTTGCCACAACACAATTCTGGTGGAGGAGGGTGATGGTGGGCTGGAGGGGTGGGGCCTACCGAACTCTGGTTCCAGGGAGACAGGAGAATCCACGGTTTGGCCAAGCCTTACATTCTTTTATATACTTTGGTCCCTACACCTCACCTTCTTCCTATCCACTGTTCTGGAAATCCAAGGCAACATATTTTGAATTCTAATACTGATTGCCAAGGTTACCTGACTTGTGCAGGGAGCTCACAAAACTGGATCAAGCAAAAATAATACTATTTGCCCCGTTCTCAGCCATTTCGCATGGTGAAATTCAATTAAGACATATACAGAATTCCGGAATTTCATGCCTGAAGTGCAAAAGTTCTTTAGAAATTGCTGTCTGTCCTAGGATAAAAGACTTCTTTTGCTTATAACTATGGCAACGGAGGTAACCTTATAGGGACTGGGCAAGCTAACACTTGAGAGAGGGATCTCTTCAGAGAGAGAAGTAATGGAATCCTTCGTAGGTTTCCATGACTGTCAGGGATAAACAAAGAGGAGCAGAGAAGTGAGTCAGATGATGTGGCTGAATACACAAGGGTAATATGAAACAGTATCAAGTCTTGGTGCTCTACCCTCATGCCTAATTTAGCTGCTTTACGGATCCAGTCCCTAGGTCACTAGGTTCAGGCTCCGCGTTGGACATCTTATTTTTGTCCTTGGCTTGTTAGCTCAGTTGACCAAAACATCTTACTAATGAGGTAAACTCCAGGTTTTGATTCACAAGTAGAGGAGAATAACAGAAAGTTTTAGAATCTGAAAGGGAATTTAGTGAAAAAATTACTCATATTATTTTAGAGATGATGGCACTGAGCATCGGGGACATGACGTGTACTACCCAACCCCACAGCCGACCGTGACTCTGGGCTTCTCGTCCAGTGCTCTTTCCATTCCGCCATGCACTAGTTAATTTTCTGACTCCGGTGTCAATCTCTCACCAGGAATCTTCCAAAGGCATGCTTTTGATAAAAACTGGAATCAGAGAAGACTGAAAAATGACTCCAAATGTCCCCTTTCCTGTTGATGGGATGGTAAGTTATCATCAAACACAAACACTTAGAATGGGAGAATTATTTCTGAAGACCCATCTGCTTTTTCTGTATTGATGTAGTACTTCATGGAAACTTATTCTGCACAACCGTGGACATGAATCACTTGCTCACAAACTGCTGGGGGAAGTCAGCTTGTTTCCAAGTGTATCACTAATTATCTAGCTATTCTGGGGTTAAGTCTATTAAAAAAGGTAGCTTGTAGAACACCAACAAATAAATGTACAAGAAATGAGAGGAAAACAAAATTATCATTTACAGTCATCATAGTACTAATTATCCACGCAATAGTTTTCAAGAAATAAAAACTATTGTGTAAAAGTTTGGTGAGAAACAGGACAGGGTATTTATATAATCACAAAGTATCTCTCTGGGGAAATTTAACAATAAGGGGGAAAATGCTAGCTTTTCAATGGAGAAGTCTGACAGTACAATCTTTTTTTTTTTTTAAGAGTTATTTACTTATTTTAGAAAGAGAGAAAGAGAGAGAGAGCCCATGTGCAGGGCAGAGGGGCAGAGGGAGAATGAAACCCAAGCAGACTCTGTGCTGAGCCCAGTGCAGGGCTCAATCCCACGACCCTGAGATCACGACCTCAGCCAAAACCAAGAGCTGGTTACCCAACCGACTGCCCCACCCAGGTGCTCCAGACAGATACAGTCTTAATCAAGTGATAAGATATCACCAATAATTGGACAGACCAGCATCATGTGCCTCCTGGTAGTATTTATTGAGAAGGACACAACTTCACCTATATATATGGCTGTGTTGGTAAATGTATATGTTTCACAACCAGAACTTGGAGGAGGGGGGATGATGCCTCATTTGTAGCATCTGTTGATATCCATGGTGCAAATACTCCCTCCATAGCTGATGTCAAACTACCAATATGACCTCACAGAAACACGCTGCTGGGAAGTGATGTGAGAATTGGCTCTCACCACCGGTACCAGTACACCACTGGGTAGTATCTCTGCCAAAAATACACCATTAGATCTAATTGTGAGGAAGCATGAGACAAACTCAAATGGAGAGTCATTCTATTAAAATATCTGGCCCATACTCTTCAAAAATATCGATAGGATGAATGCCAAAGAAAGGTTGAAGAACTGTTTCGAAGGAAAGGAGACCAAGCAGTCACAACAACTAAATGCAGGGTGTCATCCTGTACCAAGAGAAGTTGTTACAAAGGGCATTATTGGTACAACTGGACGGTACATTGTGCAACAGTATAGCTTCAGTGTTAAATGTTCTAAATGTGATTACTGTGACATGGTTACGTAATGGATGTCTTTGATCTTAGGCGCGATATGATGAATTATTTAAGGATAAACAGTGTAACTTACTCTTAAATGATTCAGAAAAAAATTACACATCTGCAGGCAAGGGAAGGGAGTGCAAATGTGGCAAAATGTTAATGACCGGTGAATTTAGTTTGAGGGACATACCCCATTTTTTGTGCTATTCTTGAAACTCTTCCATAAGTTTGAAATAATTTCAAAATAAAAAGTTTGTAAAAAGCTGACATATTTTCCCAGAGCGCTGGATATCTATTTGTCTTGACTGCCTAGTACCCATCCCCTTTTCTGGGCAGAAGAGCCTATTCTTTTCAGAACTGCTTCTTTCCCTACTGGCTTGTGTGCAAACACAATCATGGTTCTGTGGACAAGCAACGGAAGCTGGTCCAAAGACAGTCCCAGGGATTTTCCAAATTAGAGCTGAGGGAAGAAAGCTCTCTCCCACTGTGT